AGGGTCGGAGATCGAGGGTCGAGGACCCAGGGCCGTTCGGACATCGAGGAGCCAGGATCGAGCGGCCACGATCCGTCGAAGTTCGACGCTGGATGGCCGATCGAAGAGCGACGATCGAGAACCGATGTTCCAGGCTTGATCGAAACTCCAGGCTCCAGAATGCCTGGCCGATCGAACATCCATGATCGTGGTTCGATCGAGGCTCGAGGATCGAGGATCGAGGGCCCCAGATACTTCGAGGGTCGAGGATAGAGGTCCGGTCGAACAGCGACCATCGACTTCCCAGGGTCCAGTCCCGATCGAAAGTCGCGGCTCGAAAGCCGAACGACGGACGAATACCAGGATGCGGCTCTTTCGGTGTAGCTCCGATCTCAACTTTTTAATCCAGGGGGTGGTAGTTTCGCCAGGATGGTGTCGACGTCCTGCTGGGTGGCAGCTAACAGCCACAAGAATATGGCAGCTGATTTCACCTGACACACCCCGCTGCTCGGTCGGAGTGCGGATAACAGCCGCAGGGCGAAGGAGGTAGCGTCGCCTGCGGAGTGCTGACTCTCTGGAAGGGTGCAGCTAACAGCCACGGGAGGCTTCGCACTGGCGACGAATGAGACTGCCCGGTGCCCTGGTAGAGTGCAGCTAACAGTCGCGGGAATGTGGGGAACAAGCTGTTCTCGCCTGAGACATGTTGGCGATCTGCCCGGGAGCAGAAAACGCGGGGGTAGCCGAGTGCTGTCCCGAAGCACTGGAGCCAAGGCGGCAGGAAGGGGCTGCTCGACGGCGTCACTACAGCGCCCATGCTGGAGTACGCTGTCGACGTGAAGCTCGCCGTGGTATGGGGCCGTAGACATTGCGATATTCGACGCGGCACTGGTCGTGGCCATACTGCTCGAGGTCGCACTGTTGGTCACGCGCGATGTTCTGTGAAACAACGACACTGGAGACCAAGCTGCGGACCTTGCAGATGTTTTGCTGGCCCTGCTCGAGCTAGTCGCCACGTTGCCGACGCCGCTCGAAAGTGCCGTCGAGGAACGCGCCTCGGCCACCACGCGGCGACGATCCTGCCGCATCCATCAGCGCCGCGGGGACGGCATGGGCCCATGATTGCGGCAGCGAGGGGCTGCAAAGTGAAGCCGCGATGGCACTAGCAGCAAGGAAGACCACGGAGGGGCCCAGCCCCCGGCCGCCTAAAAGCAAGCCGAGGAGGCGGCAATCATCGAAGGGGGAGATGAGCCGCAAGAGGAGCCCCGGGAAGGGGAGCTGGTGCCCGGGGCGGGCCACGGGCCCCAGCCTGGCGCGTCCGAGGCGGCATTAGCACGCCAGATGGACGCGCGCGGCGGCAAGCTGGCCCTCCGTCAGGCAGGCGGCACCCGCCGGGCCCAGGGTGCGCCGTTGTCGGCGGCTGGGCCAAGGAATTCCCCGGCTGGGCGAGTATTCGGGTCGCCCTCGAGATCCGATGTCCTGCTGCGTTTGGCGTCGCTCCCTCCGCGCAGCCCGACGCCTTTGCCCTCGTTGGGGTCGCCCAAGCGTCTGGCCCTCGCACGGACGCGCGCACGCACTGTACCCCACCGAACTCCGAGCTGGAGGTCTGTGTCCATCGCGAAGACGCTGCATTTGAAACGAGCCCACTCGCGAAGGAAGAGCGAGCATGACTCAGGCTGCTGGACTGCAGGGTCGGCGCAGACCCTGTCTGCGTTTGGGAGGTACACGGTTGTCCATTGATGCCAGATGCCATTAAAGTAGGCGCACAAGTCCTTCTGGAGTCTCTCCACGGTCTCTGCGGGGCGTTTCTCGCGCCCGCAGGCGGGCGGGCCCTGGGCACGCCGGGGGAACGCGGTGCGCTCCGCCCAGGCGAGCGCGCGAGGCCCCTGTCGCCACGCCCGTCGAGCGCGGGGGAAGAAGGAGGTTCGGCGGGTGAAGTGGGGGCGCGCGCCGTGTCTTCATGCTCGGGGCTGGCTGAGGAGCGAATGGCCACCGCGAAATCGGAGCTCGGCGAAGGGGAGAGCGCGACCGGAGCTCCTTTTGCGCTTCTTGGGCGCCGTAGGCAGGGCGCACGGAGGGGTCGCATCGGAGGTCTCCGGGGCGTCGCCCGCGCCCTCCGCGATTCCGTCACTGCTCGGTCGGGGAGGGGCACTCGCTGGGGCAGCTGACTGGGCGCGCGGCCCACGCCTGGGGCCGGCCCCCCTCGGGTGGGCGCGGCCCGGAGATTTGGCAGCCAGGCGGTGGCATGGTGGGCCGGTAAAACTGCGTGGAGACGCGGGAGCGGAAGCGTTGGAATTCGGCAGGGGGGGGGGGGCTGCCTCATGGAGTTGACCGCCTGCGTTCCCTTACTCCTCGGCCTTGCTGTTCCCCCCGCTTGAGGAGAGGCTACCCTGCTTGCACATCTCTTGGGCGTCCCGCATGGGGGTCTCCGAAGCCAGCTGCAGCAGGGGGCCGGGTGTGAGTTTGTCCGAGCTGACCTGCGCCAGGAAATCAACTAGCGTTTCCATGGCGCGCCGCAGGGAGGAAGGGCCGCGCGGGGGCCACATGTCGGAGCGATGGAGCCACCTGTCCAGCATGCTGGGGCCCGGGGATAGCACGCAGGGTTTGGCGAACGCCCGCGCGGCAGCTAGCCGTTTACCCTGCCGGCGCGTGCCCCTGGGGAGGCAGGATGGTGGCACCCGTTCTCCGTAGATCAGTTTCAGGAAGGGTCGTAGCTGAAGTGGTGTCCAATTCCTGGGGTCGCCGGAGCACACAACGCCCCCCCCTTCCGCGTCTGTGCAGTCCCGCCAACGATCGTCCAGGAGCGGATGCAGGTCCCGCATAAATTCGAATATACGGACGGACCTCGATGGGTCTCGCGTCCGCTTCGTCAGCTCCGCCCTCCTCTCCCGCCTCCAGGGAGTTGAGGTCGGCGCATCTCAACCCAGGCCCGCGCGGCAGTTTCGCCCCCGGAAGCAGGCGGAGCACCTCGCTGGCTTCATTGGTCGTGGAGGGAGGCGCGCTTGTTTCTAGGATGGCGCCGTCGGAGGCGCCTTCGCCCCGGCTGGGCGGGGCCGCGTAGGCGACGGGGGCCCGGTCGGGTAAGAACTCGTCAGTGAGCGAGTGAGCACACGCCGGGAGCGAGTGGCGCACTCCGTGGCAGAGCGGACGAGGAAGAGGAAGAGGAGCAGCAGCAGGAGGAGGGGGAGGAGGCGGAGGAGGGCGCCATCGACAGGGAAGGTGAGGGCCACGAGGTCCGCCGGCTCGACGCCCGCGTCGCCCGCGCCCGCCCCCTCGCTCTGATCCGCAATGGCGGGGTGCTACGTATACATGGCCCCCCCCGAGCCCGAACATGTCCATGTCCGCCGCCTGCTGGGGCCCCCAAGAGGCCGATCCCCTAGACGGCGGTTATGGACAGATCCCCTGCCTCGGAAAGTGGCCACCCCGATGGCCACCCCGAGCCTGGAGGGTTCGGACGATTTCCTGCGGGCCCCTGACAGCCCGCAGGTCGGGGTCCCCTAGGAGGCGTGTTCGGCCTTGAGCGCCCGCGCGGGCGTCGCCGCGTCGCGTCGAGACGCCACGAGCCATCCGCGCAGAGAGAGAGAGAATGAGGGGCTACGATAGCGGGGGGCTGGCATAGGGGGGGGGGACCGACCTGGAATCGGCGATGCATCGATAGATCGGCGATAGTCCCCCGATAGGAAATCCTCACCTATCTTGGCAGGCTGGAGCTATTTTTCCCCTATCGGCGAGGAATGGGCGCTTGGGAGTCGATGCATCCCCGCCCGAGCCCAATTATCCCTCCCTGTCCTTACCCCTGAGAGAGGGGGAGGAGAGCACGAGGTGGGGGAGGGGGGAGAGAACGAGGACGACGACGATGGCAGAAGAAAGACCTGCATCATCAACATAAGCGTTCGGAGCTCCGCGGGGATTTCTAGGATCGGCGCTGGAATCCCCGCCCTGGCGCGCGGAGCGCACCAGGGGCGTCGCCAGAGGCGCCGCCAGGGAGGGGGGTCCAGCGCCGATCCAAGAAATCCGCAAGGAACTGCGAAAATCCCTGCTCGGCGGACTTCTTCCTCGAGACGAGGAGGAAAGAGGAGATGAGGCGACCCATGCCGCTGCGAGAAGGGGGTGATGGGGAGTGGGAGCAGCAGCAGCAGCAGCAGCAGCAGCAGCAGCATCGTTCGAGCTGTTTTACCGCTTCCAGTCTCTGCAGCTCTTGTACGCCTGCTCGGCCGTCTCGTTGTGGACGCGGACCTTGAAGCACTCGCACGACGTGCGGGTCTTCGAGGGGTGCCGGATCCCTAGTGACCTGCGGAACTGCTCCCAGAAGAGGATGTGCGGGTGGTCGTTCTTGGGCGCTGGCTCCAGCTGCGGGTCCTTGCGGTTTGCTGGCCCACCGCCCTTGTTGAAGTACTCGGTCATCCAGGCGCCCGTGCAATAGAAGACGTTGCGGTTGCCGCGGCCGCCCGCGGGGAACCTGGGGCCGCTCTTCCGCGACAGGGGCCACTCGCAGAGCGCCCGCGGCAGGCAGCAGGACCAGCCCTCATAGGGCCCGATGGTTCTGCTGTCCGCGTTGCCCATGTCGAGGTGGTGGCCGATGACGTTGTTCAGCACCTCAGGGGCAACATTAGGGGGGGGGGTACAGGCTCGGTGGCAGAAGAAACTACGCCATAAACATAAATGAAGGGGCCCTGGGACACACACACACACACATAAATACACACAAATAAAACTATTCCCCATATTTTCCCATATTTTTGGGGGTTTTGTCCTCCCCCCCACTTCCCATATTTTCCTACATTTCCCCAGGAACCGACGATCCATTGGGTCTCTGTGTGTGTTTTTCCCCTCCTGCCGAAACTTTTGGCGCTCCACGCGGCGTTCTTGGCTCTGGGCTGGGCCCCCCCGGGCGGCGCCTCCGGCGCCGCCCCTGGCGCGCGCTCCGCGTGCCAGGGAGGGAGGCCCCGCGCCGATCCCAGAAATCCGCGCGGACCATTCCTCGTCCCCCCTTGGCATACACCCTGCGAGATGCTGAAGAACTCATGGGTTAAGATTTTCATAGTCTCAGAACTTGAATAAAAACCCAACATTTCTATTCAAAGATTAAGATTTGCATTGAAATGGTGAGAATAATCGAGACTCTGGCCGAAAACTTAAGTTTTCTTAAGCATCGCCTAAGGTGTAGGCTCAGGGGGGACGCATCGACAACCGCTCGCGCTTTGATCGCCGATGCGGTCCGGACAGCACAGTCCGCCCAGGAAGGTGCTGTTTCGCCGTCGGGGGCGCATCGCCGATCGATCGGCGATGTATCGCCGATTCCACGTCGACTCGTTCCCCCTCAGCTGGCCCACTCCGATGGTTTCCCCCCAGGACCTCGAGGGCCAGGGCACACTGTTCGCCGATGCAGTGCGGGCAGACGTGCCGGAGCTCCCAGACGTTCTCCACGAACCTGCGCCCCCAGGCCGAGCTCCTGATGAAGACGGTGTCGGTGTTCCACTGCCTCCTCTCGGTCACGATCAGGGACTTGGTGCTGAGGGCGCTGCCCATCGCGTCCTCCACTGAACGCGAGCTCGCCACATCGGGGAACATCGCATCGACATCCATGTGCAACACCCACGGGTGCTTTAGCAGCAGCTTTCTAAGCACCTGAATCTTCAACCAGTGGGCCGAGAGATCTGAACGCAAACGCTCCGCCTGCCACTCCTCCGTATCGTTTATGGGGTACAGGGTGTAGCCGTGCATTGCACAGTACTCCTGCAGCGTCCTCCATTGGCAAATCCACTGCTCCCTGTCTGGCCCAGACCAGCTCGTGGCGATGGCACCGCGGGCGTCGGCGGGCCATGGCTGCATCTCTGGCTCCTGAATGGGCTGCGCAGGTCCCCATACGGGCCTGGCGGCAGCCCGCACCGAGCAGGTCGTTATCTTGGTGTCGTTCAGCTTGTAATAGTCGCCCTTCTCGACCTTCGCAGCGACCTCCAATATGCTCCTCGTCCCTTTCAAGTCCTTGGGGGCCGGCGGCAGGTCCACGCTGATTGACGGCGCCTTGGGGACCGGCGGCAGGTCCATGGGGGCAGGCGGCAGGTCCACGCCATCCACGCTGATGGGAGACCCGGGCCCCGCTGGAGCGCGCTGCTCCTTGAGCGCCACAAGCTCTTGCTCGAGCCTGTCGGCGCGCTGGGCCTGCGCCGCGATGGCCTGGTCCAGCCTGGCCTCCAGCAGCGCGAGACGGCCGCCCTGCTCCGACTGGGCCCCGAGGGCTGCAGCGACAGAGAACTGCGCACCCTGGTCGGAGGCCAGGTCCATCTGCCGCAGGCCGAGGGGCAGCATGACGGCCAGCACGCCCAGGACGGCAAATGCCGCGAGCCATGCCCAGCGCATGCCTGGCAGACCGGGGCCGGCACAGACGTCTCTTGAGCCTCCGGGCAGGACATCATGAGCCGAGAGGCTACCGAGAGAAGGAGGCGAGGAGCAGCAGCAGCAGAGGCCACGGCAGCAGCGAAGACCACGGCAGCGGTTGCCGGTGCAGCAGCAGAGGCAAGAGCACGGCAGCGCGGGCGGCAGCGGCGGCCGCGAAGACCTGGCACCGGGCTGCCGCCCGCTCGCGAGCGGAGCCCTCGGGCCGCTGCGGTCAGAGTCTTGCGGAGACGATCCTTGAAAGCCAGGGCGTCCGAGCTCGATCGGAGCGCGGAGCCATGGCTCCGAGTTCTCGCGACGCCCCTCAGTGGAGAGGCGCAGCCCCGAGGAGTCCAAACCGCGAGGCGCGGTTCCCTTCGCGCCCCTGCGGGACATGCTCCGGAAGCTGGAAGCCGTTCCTGTCACGGCGCTGGCGGTCGCGCGACGCGTCCGCACGAATCATGGGACGCAAGACGGCGAGTCAAAACACGGAAGAGGGCCAGGCGAGGCAGAGGGCGGCCGCGGAGGGAGGGGGAAGGTGGGCGGCGCACTCCGGCGGTGCCCGCCACGGTACGGCGGCCTCCCACAGGCCTCCAAACACACGCGGCTGGATTCACGCGTGGCACATGTGGAGGTCACGCGCTGGATACACCTGCGGAGAACCAACGGGCCTCTCCGCCCGTAGAAGACTACGAGCGCTGGAGGACGTGCAACCACATGTGCACCCAGCTCTCGCCCAGGCCGGCCAAGGTATGTGGCAGCTTCCTGGTAATCCGGCGTGGGGTTCAGAAGGGGTCCTTAGAGAAGCAGGTCCTGGACCCCTGGGCTTCCCCCGGAGCCAGTCTGTCCCGAGCTGCTTTCTGATCGTCCCAGGGTCCGAAGTCAGGACCCTTTCTGATGGCGACCAATGAGAGAGGGACCCTACGTCATGCTTCCTCGTGAATCTTTCTCCTCCTCCTCCTCCTCCTCCTCCTCCTCCTCCTCCTCCTGCTCCTCATCCTTCTCCTCCTCGTCTTCCTCATTCGTCCTGGTTGCCCTCCTCCTGAGTATCTCGCTCCCTCCTCCTCCTCCTCATCCTCCTCCTCCTCCTCCTCCTCCTCCTCCCTCCTCCTCCTCCTCCTCCTCCGTTGTCCTCCTCCTCCTCTGGTGTCCTCCTCCTCCTCCTCCTCCTCCTCCTCCTCCTCCTCCTCCTCTGGTGTCCTCCTCCTCCTCTGATGTCCTCCTCCTCCTCTCCCGCTCCTCCTCCTTCTCCTCCTCTACTCCTATCCCGCCCCATCCTGCTCCTCGTCCACATCTCGTCGGAGGGGGGTCGGGGGCAGATGAGAGGCGCGCGCTCAGGGTCGAGAGGGGTCGGTCAACAGCGCCGGGACACCGACGCCCCGCGCGCACACGATAGGCACGGGCGGCACATCCGGGTGGCACTCCAGCTGCGGCTCGCCCAGGCGACCGACCGATCTCCTCCTCCTCCTCCTCCTCCTCCTCGTCCTCCTCCTCCTCCTCCTCCCCTCCTCCTCTCCTCCTCCCTCCTCCTCCTCCTCCTCCTCCTCCTCCTCCTCCTCCTCCTCCTCCTCCTCCACGCTGGAAGACCCGCAGCGCCTGGAGCCCCAAACTCCGCGTCCGCCTCCCATGCGAAACAGCCAAGTGCAGGCGCGCCTGCCTCCCATGTCAGGGGGGGGGCGTTGGGGGGCAGCTGTCGCACGTCGCCGCACAGCGCTCGGTGTCGTGGGCCGAGGACCCGAGCCTGTCGTCGTCAATGCGAGTGGGTGGAATAGTGGCGTTGGCGCGCTTGGGAGCATGAAGGCCCCTGGGAGTCAGCAGGAAGTCGCCCAGATCCCCCGCGGCCGATGCCGTAGAAAGTGCTGAGACCGCGAGCCGAGGAACGCTGGGGGGTAGCTTGTGCACAGGCGGGGCCGGTAGGGTTCCTGGCCTGGGCCACCACTAGAACGCAATCGGCGAGGGAGCTGCCCGCGGGCACGATGTGGCCGTCGCTCTCCGTCGCCGAAGTCCAGCAGGGGCCGCAAACCAGGTGCAGCCCAAGCCGTTCGCACGCGCACGAAGACGGTTGGGGGCAAGATATGATCGTATGTTGTCGTCCCACCAGGTGCCCTCGTAGTATAGACAATGGGGCTTGTGACAAGAATCGCATTGGAACATGGCTGTTTTCCGGTCAGCACTGAAGCGCGCGTCGCCCGGTGCAAGGCAGGGGGGAACCTTGGTGACGGAGGGGAGTGGAGCCGGTGATAGGGCTGTATCCAGAGGGGTGTGGCCGAAGGAAAACCCGCCGCCGAGGAAGGTGACTTCGGAGGGACAGTCCAATGGTCCAGGGGCGCACCCCTTGTCTGTGAGCTCGTAATGTAAAGAGCAGATACTACAATCAGCGTGCGAGAGGGTGCTGATGTTGGCTGGCTGTACGATCTTCTCGAGGACCCACATCGGAGCCTTGAGCTTGAAGGCGAAGGATTCCATGCCTGCGTAGGTGGCTGGACAGCTCGCCTCCCTCGCAGCTGGGTGATGGTGGGCGGTGGTGGCCAGCCTGGCTGCAGCGCCGATCAGTATCTCCAGCGTACCGTGTAGGTCCCGAAGTTCGGACAGCTGTAGTCCCCAGGTAGGAGCCAGTTGCGTACGGAAGTGGTGGTGCCTGTCCTGCCACGGGCAGCAGATCCCGAGGATGGAATCCAGGATATCCCCAGAGCCTGAAGGGTCGGGAAACGGCCACATGTGGGTGCGAGGTTCGCGTCTCATGAGCAGCATGATGATGAGCACGCAGCGGGCATTTTCGGAGGACATGACACGCTGGTCGGGGTCGAGCAGCTCCAGCCGCTTGCTTGTGGCCCCGTCGTGGCCCTTCAGGAAGTCGACTAGGGACTCGAAGCCGGGGGTATACCAGATGGCGCGGGCAGGTCCTGGTCCCTTTAAACCAGGCGTTGAGGACGTGGTGCAAGAGGTTCTGGGGGGTGCAGCGGTTCTTATTCTGTGGCCTCCGAGCGGCGCGCCCTTGGACTTCAGGCTTCGGTGGCAATTCATTATCCCCGATTTCGCGTGCGGCGTCGTCCCCGTCCGTTCCCAGGCCTGCCGCCCAGACGAGGGCGGCCCATGTCATCTTGTACAAAAGATTCCCAGAGCCCAGACCAAGGTCCACGTCGTACAGGTAGCCCAGGTGGCTCCAAAGCTTCGTGTCGAATTGCCCGGCGTCGGGAGGGGTGCCTTCGGTGTTATACTTATGGGGGTGCAGTCCTGCGACGAGGAAGAGGACGATAGAGAAGGCACGGCCGGTGAAGACCGCTTCGAGTGCCCCCGCCAAGCGAAACCCAACGTCGTCCCAGCACGGCTCAACCGCCAGGGGAAGGTCATACTGCACGCTGAAGCACTTCGCATGGAGGTCCCGTCTGGCGGCCACTTCTTGTGAGGCCTCCGTCCCAGCATCGTCCTTGGACGAGGGGGTCTCGGGGTTCGGGGGAACCCAGGAGGCCAGGTCCTCGATGGGTCTGAAGGCGCTGTCGGTGATAAGTGTGCTGCATTTGCCGGGGCTCTGGCCGGGGGGAGTGCAGAAGCGTACCCAGAGGCCCTCGAGACGCCCGTAGCTGGAGAGCAGTCTGAGTTTGGCGTCAGCCATGGATGACATCATGCGGCCGTCGGCGACGATCACAACGCCCCTCCTCGCCCGAGTGAGTCCCACGTTGACCCTGTTGGGATTGCCCACGAAGCCCCACATGTGATCCGAGTTGGACCGTGTGGTGAGGAAGATGACTAAGTCGGCTTCACCACCTGGCTTGCGTCTACTGTGGAGAGGGTGAGAGTCCCGGAGGCCAAGTGCTCGTGGGCAATCTGCCTGATGCCGGGGAAGTCCAGGTCCAGGCCGTTGGCGCCGCTGGCCCATTGGTGGAAGGCAAGCGCCCGTCCATGTCGCTCGGGGGTGTAGTTGGAGTCTCTGGGATTGGGCGCCGCCTCAGCACACGTAGAGGTTTGGACCGAGGCTGTAGGGGAGCGGCTCCTTTGGGGGGTCCCTGCGGGGGTCGGGGTACCGGGGGGGTCACGGCGGCGGTGGTCGGCAGCGCCAAGGGGGGAGGAGCATCTCGGCGCCAGAGGAAAGAGGGGCGGCCGTGGGTCAGGAGGGGTGACGTTGGGCTCCGATTTCGCATCCCGCAACTCGCTGAGCAGCTGTCGACAGCAGGCTAAACTTCAACGCCAACATCTCGCTGAGCAGCGGCAGGGCCCACTTACAATACTCGCATCTTTCACGCGTGCTGATCCGAGCGCTGAAGCCAACCAGAGCGGACCCATGTAATGATATCCACAGCGGCTTCCTGCGCAATGGAATGCCGCTGCCAAGTTCAAAATATGGGAGCCCGTCAACGTAATCACAATGGTTGCCCAGCTGGGCCCCATACGAACAGTGCTTCGCAAGACATTCAAAAACGCGAAAGACCGATCCCACGATGGCCTGGGAATCCAGCCGAGTGGCCAGACGACCTCTCATACGCTGTGATGCCCGAGTTGTAATTGACTTCGTTCGGTTCCAAATTGATATTGCGCATCTCGCTCAGCAGCGACAACGCCTGCCGCCACTGGCCCGATCTCTCGCACGCGCGGATCCCAGCGCTGTAGCTGATGTCGTCAGGCTCAAGCTTCGCCTCCCACATCCCGCTCAGAAGCGCCAGAGCCCGCTCCCACTGCTCGCCCTTCTGGCACGCGCTGATCCCAGCGCTGTAGCTGACTAGGGCAGACCTGTGGACTCCGTCCACGACATCAGCTCGACGTGGCGAGGGGTCTCTGGGCAAGCGCGGCGTGCCTGTCGCCTCTCGTCCGCTCCCCCGCTCCTGGAGGGAATTCTGAAGGCACTGAAGGCTTCGTGGGGGCCGTTTCGGAGCCTCTTCGGCCTTCTTTTGGGCCTCCCGGGGGGGCTCTTAGCGCCCTCTCGGGCCGTCTTGGGTGCCTCTTGGGCCGTCTTGGGGCCGTCTGAGGCCCGCCTCGGCACCTCTTGGGTTGTCTTGGGCCGTCTTGGGCCGCTCCTGGGGCCGTCTTGGGTGCCTCTTGGGCCGTCTTGGGCGCCTCCTGGGCCGTCCTGGGGCCGTCCTGGGGCGTCTTGGGACCGTCTTGGGGCCCTACTGGCCCGTCTTGGGGCTCTCTTGGGGTTCTCTTTGGCCGTCTTGGAGCGGTCGGGGGGACTTCTTGGGCCGTCTTGGAGCGTCGGGAAGCCGAAGAGGCGAGGAGGCCGAAAACATCGAAAAACACAGTAGAAATCGACGATTTCTGTCGCTCGGGGCCCTCTTGGGAGGCCTCTTGGGAGGCCTCTTCGGGCGTCTTGGACGCCTCTTGGGCCGCCTGGGGCGAATCTCGGGCGTCTTGGGCCCATCTTTAAGCGTGCCGGGGCTCTCCGGGGCCGTCTTGGGGGCTTCTGGGGGCCCTCTCGACATGTCCTGGAGCCTGCCTGGGCGGCCCGGGGCGGCCCGGGGCCAGCCCGGGGCGGTTTCGGTGCATTGGGGCCTGCGCCCTTCTGGCACGCACTGGGCCCTGCAATGTAGTAGAGACTAGGGCTGACCCGCGGCCTTCCGGCCGCGGAATCTGCCCGCCATGGCGTGGACGCGGAAGTGGAGCGTCTCCGCGGCCTTGCGGGGGGGAGGTTGGAGGGGACGGCATGGATGGAGGAGGTGGCCGCTGGAGGGCGAGGTGGGCGCGGGATGCAGGCAAGCAGGCTTGAAGGCAGGAACGCGGTGGTGGGGGCGGTATCAATGGACTCACACCCAAGCACGACATGGTGTGGACAGAACCTGTTTCTCACGCCGCGCTCTGTGTTCATCATAGTTTTCGCGGGGCGGGTCGCCGTGATAACTGTTCCTCGCCGGGGCCGAATTGGGACCGGTGGGCGCGGCCTAAGAGGCCCGCAAGAAGGCGCCGAGACGGCCCAAGAAGTCTCCAGGACGGGCCAAGAGGCTTCCAAGACGGCCCAAGAGGGCCCCACGAACTCCCTAAGACGGGCCCCAATGCGAGGACATGAATCGACCTTTCGAGCGCACCGCCCGAAAACGTCCCAGGAGGCCTAGAGATGGCTCCCAGAGGGTCCAAAAAGCCCCCAAGACGACGCTGGAAGTTCGACGCTCCCCAACAGAGAAGCATTCAAGGCCTCTTGGGGGCCGTTTGGGAGCCTATTTTCGTCCTCCTGGGGTCTCTCGGGGCCCACTTGGGCCATCTGGAGTGCCTCTTGGGCCGTCTTGGGGCCCTGTGGGGCCGCCTTGGGCGACTCTCGGGCCATCTTGGGGCCGTCTTGGGGCCATCTTGGGCCGTTATTGGGCGCTCTTCGGGCTGTCCTGGGTGTCTCTTGGGCCGTCTCGGGCGCCTCTGGAGCCGTCCCGGGGCAATCGGGCCGTTTGGGGGCCCTGCTGGGGGCGTCTGGGGGCGTCTTGGGGCGCTCTTGGGGGCCTGTACAGCTGTCTTGGAGAGACTGTACAAACCAAAAAAAATCGACATATTAAAAATAGACGCTCTCATAAAAGGAGTGGGGCGATGTTTGGCCTCTTGCTCCCTCGGGAGCCTCCTGGCCTGCCTTGGAGGCTTCATCCTGGAGCTCGCTTGTATTCCTCTTGGGACATCCGGGCGCGTCTCTGAGCCGTCTTTGGGCAGTTATTGGGCGCTCTTGGGGCTGTTTGGGGTGCCTCTTGGACTGCTCGGGCGCCCTTGGAGCCGTCTCGGGCCGTTTTGGGACCCTCCTGGGTGCGTCTGGGGGCGATCTCGGGGCCAATACGATCGTGTTGGAGACTGTGAAGACACAAAAGGAAGGACATTTTTTTCGAAAGGATTGGGGCGCTTTTTGCCTCTTGGGGCACTCCTGGAGGTCCTCCTGGGCCGTCGTGGGGGTCTCCTGGCCTGCCTTGGAGCAGTCTTGGCTTGTCGTGGAGCGCTCTTGGAGCGTCTTGGGGATACCTTGGGCCGTCCTGGGAGCCTCTTGGTGTCACCCTGGGGCCGTTGTGGGCGCCTCTTGGGCTCTCTTGACGCCCTCTCGGGACGGTTTTCGTGCGTCTTGGGGGCCTCTTGGGCCGTCTTGGGGCGGTCGTGGGGGCCTGGAACCAGCTTCTGCGCCATATTCCCGTCAAGCAGCGCATGCTGGAAGTGAGCGTTTGTCTTCGGGAAAACAATGATTTTCGCCTCTGGGGGCCATCCTTGGACGCCTCTTGGGCGTCTCTGGTGCCGTCGTGGAGGCCTCCTGGGCCGTCTTGGGTGTGTTTTCGGCGGTCTTGGGCTCTCTTGGAGCGCTCTTGGGCCGTCTTCGGGGTGTATGGGGCCGTCCTGGGCGCCTCCTGGGAGCCTCTTGGGGCCGCCTGGGGGCCGTGTTGGGCGCCTCTTGGGTCTCTTGACGCTCTCGCGGGCTGGTTTTCGTGCCTCTGGGGGGCCTCTTGGGCCGTCTTGGGGCGGTCGTGGGGACCTCTTGTCCCATCTTCTGCGCCATACTCCCGACAAGCAGCGTGTGCTTAAATTGGACGTTTTTCGTTGGAAAAACAATGATTTGGGCCTGTGGGGGCCATCCTGGGACGCCTCTTGAGCGTCTCTGGGGCCGTCGTGGAGGCCTCCTGGGCCTTGTCGGGGCCGTTTTCGGCGGTCTGGAGCTCTCTTGGAGCGCTCTTGGGCCGTTTTGGGGGTGTCTGGGGCCGTCCTGGGCGCCTCTGGGGAGGCGTGAGCGCCTCTGGGGCGTCCCCGGAGCCGTTGTGGGGCATTTTAAATCCATCAAGACAGGGACCCTTCCCGCACGCACGGGTCCCTGCATTGTAGAGAAGATGACGTCGGGCTCCAGCTTCGCCTCCCACATCTCGCTCAGCAGCGCAAGTGCCCGCTGCCACTGCTCGCCCTTCTCGCACGCGCTGATCCCAGCGCTGTAGCTGACTAGTGTGAACCCGTGGCTTAAATCCACGGCCCGCAGGTCCAGGCGTTGGTCCCGAACGCGCACGTGTCGGAAGCGCTGGAGGCGTCAAAAGTTACGTGTTTTTGCTAATCGCGCGAGGCCTGGGCGCGATTAGCAGAAACACGTAGGTTTTCAGACACAATCAGAGTAAGGGGGCCCGACGCTTCCCAGGGGCTCGTCCGGGGCAACTTTCGGAGCCCTCCGAGGCAGTGTCGGGAGCCTCTTGGGGCGTCTTGGGCGCCTTGGGGGCATCTTGGAGGTCTCGGGCCGTCTCGGAGCTCGCTTTGGGCTCTGTTGGGCGGCACCTGGGGCCCAGTTGTCGCTGTCTTCTGCGTGACTTGAAACTCTCTTGGGCTGTCTTGGGGCATTCTTCGGCGGTCTTTGGCCCTTCTTGGGCCATATGAAAGCAATCCTCGGGTTCTGTTGGGCGGTCTAGGGGTGATCTGAGAAGGTCCTGGGGCCGTGAAGGGCCGTTCGTGTCCCGACATGGCGGGAAGAGCAAGAATCCTCCAAAACCTTCGGGAAACGGTAATTGGTGCCTTTTGGCGCGGTCCACGGGGCCCTCGACGCACGTCTCTGGGGCATTTCGAGGCCGTCGTGGGGCTCTGGCCGGATTGGCTTCGGCTCTCTTGGGCGTCTTTGGGGCCGTCTTGGAGCGATGTGGGGGTCCGGGAGCCGTCGGGGAGCGCTCCAGGGGCGTCCTGGGGCCGTCGGGGAGCGGCTCAGAGCTCTGGCAGGTCGAAGCCAGCAGAACCGAGAGAGCAGCGGTGAGGCCCCCGATACAGCCAAGGGTGCGGGTGCTGGTTTTCGTAGGGCCCCCGAACAGGCTGTAATGACCTGCGGGCAATCTCGCCGCGGGCCTGGGTAATGGGTAAGAGATCTCGTGGATGTTGGTTGGGATCTCGTGGTTGGCTTCTCGGGAGCCTCTGGGAGACAGTTTGGGGGCTTCTTGGTAGCAGTTTGGGGGCGTCTGGGGGCCTCTTGGGCCCTCTTTTGGGGCCTCTTGGGGGCCTTTTAGGGCGCTTGGCGGCCTCTGGGGGGCCTCTTGGAGCCTCTTTGGGGCGTCCTGGGGCCTCCTGGGGATGTCTTGGGAGCGTCCCAGCGTTTCTTTGGGGCGTCTTGGGGCTTCCTGGGGGCCTCTTGGGGTGGAGGCCTCGATTTTTCGGTTCCGGGTCCCTGTCTTGGGCCTCTCTTGGGGCTCTCTTCGGGCCCTCTTGGGCCGTCTTGGGCGACTCTTGGGCCGTCTTGGGGCCCTCTTGGGCCGTCTTGGGGCCGTCTTGAAGGCCTCTTGGGCCGTCTTGGAACGGTCTTGGGGGCCTCTTGGGCGGCCGTGGAGCTTCGGAAAGCCGAAAAAGCGAGAAGGCCAGAAACATTATAAAAAACAAAGAAAATCCACGATGTTGGCTTCTGCGGCCCCTCTTGGAGGTGCACTTCGAGCGCTGTGGGGGCCTCGTGGAGGCGTCTCGGGCCGTCTTGAAGGCGTCTTGAAGCCATCTTAAGCGTCTCGGATACGCTCTTGGACCGCCTTGGGCCGTCTTCGGGACCTCCTGAGGCCGTCTTGGAGCGATCTGGGAATCCTGCATCAGTCCGCGAGCGGTCCGGGGGTCCCGTCGGGCAGCGGCCCGGAGGCTCTCGGGGCGGCCCGCGAGCTCTCTGGGCGGCCCGGGGCGCTGCCACTGCCTGACCTTCTCGCGCGCGCTTCGCCCGGAATCATAGTACAGATGACGTCGGGCTCCAGCTTCGCCTCCCACATCTCGCTCAGCAGCGCAAGTGCCCGCTGCCACTGCTCGCCCTTCTCGCACGCGCTGATCCCAGCGCTGAAGCTGATGACGTTGGGCTCCAGCTTCGCCTCCCACATCTCGCTCAGCAGCGCAAGCGCCCGCTGCCACTGCTCGCCCTTCTCGCACGCGCTGATCCCAGCGCTGTGGCTGATAGCGTTGGGCTCCAGCTTCGCCTCCCACATCTCGCTCAGCAGCGCCAGCGCCCGCTGCCACTGCCCGCCCTTCTCGCACGCGCTGATCCCAGCGCTGTAGCTGACTAGGGCTGACCCGTGGACTCCGTCCACGACATCTTTCTGGAATGGTTCTCGGAGGAACGGCGCAGATTGTACCGAAAATCTACAAACACGGCGGCGGCTCGGGCGGCGGCAGCGAGACCGCGCCTTCGTGTCCGAGCTCAGCGCTCCAGCAGCTTGGCCCAGCGCACTGCTCGTTCACCCCCCTCCTATTGAGGACAGTTTCGAAGTCTCTCGGGGATGTGCGTCGAAGTCGAAGCCCATCTGAGGCGTCTCAGGAGCGCTCGGGGAAGGGCTCGGGAGGCCATGGGGGAAAGCCACCGAAAAAGCCGGGGGGGCTCGCAAGGATCTACAGGGAGGGCACAAGAGAGCTTCAAGAAAATCTGAAATTCTGTAAAATCTTTAGAGAAACCGCTGTTGGGTCGGCCATCACCTCCGGGCGCGCCTTGATGGTGCGATCCAGTCGCATCACCGCCAACGGGAGGGTTTGTTCGCCATGTCCCATTCTGTTCGCCCAGAGGGTCTGTGGAGGCCTTCGGGCGAACAGAACGGGACAGGGCAAGGAATGGGGAAGACTTGTCCGAATCTCCTGGGCCCCCCAGGTGCTCGTCCGAAGAATGCGGAGAGGTCCCAGGGTCATATCAATTGGCTGCTGTCCCAGGGGTCCGGTCTGCTTGGCCCGAAGAGTTTGCCAAGGCCCCTGGGGGAACAGAATGGCACAGCATATCGGGCAAAGGGGGGCGGTAGCTGGCCTGTCAGACCCGGCGTTCGTCTTCTGCCCAAGCGGCGCGGGGCCCACGGGCCCCAGGGTTGGCGGCCCGCTGGGTTTCCTCTTGTTCGCCCACAGGGTTGGAGGAGGCCTCCAGGCGAACAGAATCTGAATGTGGGAGACTTGTCGCAAGCTCCCAGCCCCCCCAAGTGTGCGCCCGAAGGGTGTGGGGCCGCGTTGGCTCCCTCAAAGGGCCGTCTTGGAGCCGTCCAGGCGCGTCTTGAGGGCGCCGTGTGCCGTGATGGGGCCGTCTTGGTTCGTCGTGGGCCCCTCATGGGCGCGTCCGTAGGCCGTCCTGGGCCCATCGGGGTCCTCGTGGGGCTGTCTTGGAGCCGTCTGGGACCGTGAGGGGGCCGCCTTGGAGTCATCTTGGGCCCCTCCTGTGCGCCTCCTTGGGCCGTCCTGGGCCCAGCAGGGGCCGTATTGGCACCCTCTTGGGGCTGTCTTGGAGCCGTCTTGAGCCGTCGACAGCGCGCCTTGCTTCCTGGGCGTTTCCTCGGATCCTCATGGGACTTTCTGGGGCCTCTTGGTGCATCGGACCGCCGAAACGGCGGGAAACGCAAAGGGTGTAACAGTAAACAATGGAAGATTTACGTTTTTTGCCAGCTGGGGCTCTCTTGCCAGCTTGGCCCGTCTTGACGCCCCGACCGGGCGCGTCCTTGGGCCGTCCTGGGCGCACCCTCCTGGGACCGTCTTGGAATCGTCTTGGGCCGTCTTGAGCGCGCCTTGGGCCCCGTCCTGGGCCCGTCTGTGGCCGTGTTGGCACCCTCGCGGCGATGAAGCTCGGAGGCGGGCTCGAGGCCTCTTTGGGGCCATTTTGGGGGCTGTTGGGGCCTCTGTTGGGACCTCGTTTGGGCTCCTTGGGAGCCTCCTGGGGCTTCTTTGGGGGATTCTTGGCGGCCCCTTGTGGCCTCTTGGGGGCATGTTTGGGCCTCCTGGCGCCCTCTTGGGGCAGAATGCTCGGATTTTCGGTCCGTGGTCCCCCTCTTGGCCCCCTCTTGGGCCTGTCTTCGGGCCCTCGTGGGCCGTCTTGAGCGTCTCTTGGGTCGTCTTGGGGCCCCCTTGGGCTGTCTTGGGGCGCTCTTGGAAACCTCTTGGGCCGTTCTGGGGCGCTCGCCTCTTGGGCCGTCTTCGAGCGTCGGAAAGCGGAAAAGGCGAGAAGGCCAAAATCCTTCCAAACCCGTCGTGAAGCGGATGATTTTGAGGCCCAAAACCATCCAAAACCTCCTGAGGCGGTCCCCTCGTCCGCCCCCGTGGCACCTCTTGGGGACCTCTTTTGGGCTCCTTGGGGCCTCTTGGGCCTCTCTGGGCTCGTCTATCGCGCCCCTTGGGCTGTCTTGGGGCCCCCTAGGGCCTTCTTGGGCGGTCCTCGGGCCGTCTTGGAGCCATCTTGGGCCGCTCTTCGGGCCATCTTGGGGTCCCGTTGGCCTGTCTTGGGCGCCTTTGGGGCCGTCCTGGGGCCGCCTTGGACCGTCTTGGGGCCCTCTTGGACCGTCTGGGGGTCCTCTTGGGGACCTCGTGGACTGTCTTGGGGCGGTCTTGGATGCCTCTGGGGGGGGGTTCGGAGCGTCGGGAAGCCGAAAAAGCGAGGAAGCAAAAAACCTCGGAAAAACAAATGAAAATCAACGATTTTCGCCTCTCGGGGCTCTCTTGGGAGGCCTCTTGGGAGGCCGGTTGGGCCGTCTTTGGGAGCTCTTGGGCCGTCTTGGGCCAATCTCGGGCGTCTTGGCTGGATCATTGCGAGTCTCGGGGCCCTCTTGGGCGGCCTTCGGGGCATCTTGAGCGGGTCGGAGCCGTCTTTGAGCGGCTCGGAGCCGTCTTTGGGCCGTCGGGGCGGCCTCCGGAGCGTCTCGGAGCCGTTTCCGGCCATTTGACGCTTTTTCCTTCCGGCACGCGGTTCCTCTGGCCATATAGTATAGTTGACGTTGGGCTCCAGCTTCGCCTCCAACGTCTCGCTCAGCAGCGCAAGTGCCCGCTGCCACTGCCCGCCCTTCTCGCACGCGCTGATCCCAGCGCTGTAGCTGATGACGTCGGGCTCCAGCTTCGCCTCCCACATCTCGCTCAGCAGCGCCAGCGCCCGCTGCCACTGCTCGGCCTTCTCGCACGCGCTGATCCCAGCGCTGTAGCTGACTAGGGCTGACCCGTGGACTCCGTCCACGACGTCTTTCTGGAATGGTTCTCGAAGGAACGGCGCAGATTGTACCGAAAATCTACAAACACGGCGGCGGCTCGGGCGGCGGCAGCGAGACCGCGCCTTCGTGTCCGAGCTCTTGCAGCGCTGCAGCAGCTTGGCCCAGCGCACTGCTCGTTCACCCCCCTCCTATTGAGGACAGTTTCGAAGTCTCTCGGGGATGTGCGTCGAAGTCGAAGCCCATCTGAGGCGTCTCAGGAGCGCTCGGGGAAGGGCTCGGGAGGCCATCGGGGAAAGCCACCGAAAGCGCCGGGGAGGCTCGCAAGGATCTACAGGGAGGGCCCAAGAGAGCTTCAAGAAAATTTGAAATCCAGTGAACTCTTAAGAGAAACCGCTGTTGGGTCGGCCATCACCTCCGGGCGCGCCTTGATGGTGCGATCCAGTCGCATCACCGCCAACGGGAGGGTTTGTTCGCCATGTCCCATTCTGTTCGCCCAGAGGGTCTGTGGAGGCCTTCGGGCGAACAGAACGGGACAGGGCAAGGAATGGGGAAGACATGTCCGAATCTCCTGGGCCCCCCAGATGCTCGTCCGAAGAATGCGGAGAGGTCCCAGGGTCATATCAATTGGCTGCTGTCCCAGGGGTCCGGTCTGCTTGGCCCGAAGAGTTTGCCAAGGCCCCTGGGGGAACAGAATGGCACAGCATATCGGGCAAAGGGGGGCGGTAGCTGGCCTGTCAGACCCGGCGTTCGTCTTCTGCCCAAGCGGCGCGGGGCCCACGGGCCCCAGGGTTGGCGTCCCGCTGGGATTCCTCTTGTTCGCCCACAGGGTTGGAGGAGGCCTCCAGGCGAACAGAATGGGGCAGGACAATGAATGTGGGAGACTTGTCGCAAGCTCCCAGCCCCCCCAAGTGTGCGCCCGAAGGGTGTGGGGCCGCGTTGGCTCCCTCACAGGGCCGTCTTGGAGCCGTCTAGGCCCGTCTTGAGGGCGCCGTTTGCCCTGATGGGGCCGCTGGGCCCCTCATGGGCGCGTCCGTAGGCCGTCCTGGGCCCATCGGGGTCCTCGTGGGGCTGTCTTGGAGCCGTCTGGGACCGTGAGGAGGCCGCCTTGGAGTCGTCTTGGGCCCCTCCTGTGCGCCTCCTTGGGCCGTCCTGGGCCCAGCAGGGGCCGTGTTGGCACCCTCTTGGGGCTGTCTTGGAGCCGTCTTGAGCCGTCGCAGCGCGCCTTGGGTTGTGCTGGGTCCGTCTTGGCCCGTCTTGGGGCCTTCCTGGGCGGTTCCTCGGACCCTCCTGGGACTTTCTGGGGCCTCTTGGTGCATCGGACCGCCGAAACGGCGGGAAACGCAAAGGGTGTAACAGTAAACAATGGAAAATTAACGATTTTTGCCAGCTGGGACTCTCTTGCCATCTTGGCCCGTCTTGAGGCCCCGAACGGGCGCGTCCTTGGGCCGTCCTGGGCGCACCCTCCTGGGACCGTCTTGGAATCGTCTTGGGCCGTCTTGAGCGCGCCTTGGGCCGTCCTGGGCCGGTCTGGGGCCGTGTTGGCACCCTCGCGGCGAGGAAGCTCGGAGGCGGGCTCGAGGCCTCTTCGGGGCCATTTTGGAAGCTGTTGGGGCCTCTGTAGGGGCCTCGTTTGGGCTCCTTGGGAGCCTCCTGGGGCCTCTTCGGGGGATTCTTGGCGGCCCCTTGGGGCCTCTTGGGGGCCTGTTTGGGCCTCCTGGCGCCCTCTTGGGGCGGAAGGCTCGGATTTTCTGTCCGTGGTCCCCCTCTTGGCCCCCTCTTGGGCCTGTCTTCGGGCCCTCGTGGGCCGTCTTGAGCGTCTCTTGGGTCGTCTTGGGGCCCTCTTGGGCTGTCTTGGGGCGCTCTTGGAAACCTCTTGGGCCGTTCTGGGGCGCTCTTGGAGGCCTCTTGGGCCGTCTTCGAGCGTCGGAAAGCGGAAAAGGCGAGAAGGCCAAAATCCTTCCAAAACCGTCGTAAAGCGGACGATTTTGAGGCCCAAAACCGTCCAAAACCTCCTGAGGCGGTCCCCTCGTCCGCCCCCCTCGCTTCGAAGCAGTTTTTAAGCCCCGTGGCACCTCTTGGGGATCTCTTTTGGGCTCCTGGGGGCCTCTTGGGCCTCCACTGGATTCGCTGCCCTCGGTCGGCAATCGTCGATCCTACGACGACTCTCCCCAACGGAGAAACATCGAAGGCCCTCGGAGCGTCCAACCTTGTTCTTTTGTGCCTTCGATATGCCGGTCGCCTCTCGTCCGCTCCCCCCCTCCTGGAAGCAATTCTGAGGCCACTTAGGGCTTCGTGGGGGCCGTTTGGGGATCTCTTGGGGCGTTTTTGCCTGCGATATGCCTGTCGCCTCTCGTCCGCTCCCCCGCTCCTGGAGGGAATTCTGAAGGCACTGAAGGCTTCGTGGGGGCCGTTTCGGAGCCTCTTCGGCCTTCGTTTGGGCCTCCCGGGGGGGCTCTTAGGGCCCTCTCGGGCCGTCTTGGGTGCCTCTTGGGCCGTCTTGGGGCCGTCTGAGACCCGCCTCGGCGCCTCTTGGGCTGTCGTGGGCCGTCTTGGGCCGCTCCTGGGGCCGTCTTGGGTGCCTCTTGGGCCGTCTTGGGCGCCTCCTGGGCCGTCCTGGGGCCGTCCTGGGGCGTCTTGGGACCGTCTGGGGGCCCTCCTGGCCCGTCTTGGGGCTCTCTTGGGGTCCTCTTCGGCCGTCTTGGAGCGGTCGGGGGGGCTTCTTGGGCCGTCTTGGAGCGTCGGGAAGCCGACGAGGCGAGGAGGCCGAAAACATAGAAAAACACAGTAGAAATCGACGATTTCTGTCGCTCGGGGCCCTCTTGGGAGGCCTCTTGGGAGGCCTCTTCGGGCGTCTTGGACGCCTCTTGGGCCGCCTGGGGCGAATCTCGGGCGTCTTGGGCCCATCTTTAAGCGTGCCGGGGCTCTCCGGGGCCGTCTTGGGGGCTTCTGGGGGCCCTCTCGACATGTCCTGGGGCCTGCCTGGGCGGCCCGGGGCGGCCCGGGGCCAGCCCGGGGCGGTTTTGAAACATTTGAGCCTGCGCCCTTCCCGCACGCACGTGCCCCTGCAATGTAGTAGAGATGAGGTCGGGCTCCAGCTTCGCCTCCCACATCTCGCTCAGCAGCGCAAGCGCCCGCTGCCACTGCTCGCCCTTCTCGCACGCGCTGATCCCAGCGCTGTAGCTGACTAGTGTGAACCCGTGGAAAATCCACGGCCCGCAGGTCCAGGCATTGGTCCCGAACGCGCACGTGTCGGAAGCACTGGAAGCGTCAAAAGTAATGTGTTTTTGCTAATCGCGCGAGGCCTGGGCGCGATTAGCAGAAACACATAGGTTTTCAGACGCAATCAGAGTAAGGGGGCCCGAACGATCTTACAGAGTCCCTGTGCGCGAGAAGTTCGATGTGGGGGGTGGACGCGTGGGGGCCAGAGTTGGGCGCTACGTTGGGGGGCCTCGTTTGAGGGCCACGTTGGGGGGTCTCGTCAGGGTGTCATGGTTGGGGCCAACGTTCGCGGCCCTGCCGGGGGCCATGTTTGGGGGCCGCGTGCGGGGTTCGGGGGCACATGTGACGGTCGCGTTTGAGGGTGTGGGGTTCGGGGGCAGATGTGACGGTCACGTTTGAGGGCAATGGTTGGGGGCTGTGTGTGTTGGGGCCACGTTTGGGGGCGCCTGGGGGCTACGCGTGGGGTTGACGTTCGGGGGCCACGCTTACTGGGGCGGTAGGGGCGACCTTCGGAGGCTTTGTGTGGGGGCCGCCTTTGGGGGTCCCGTTTGGAGGCCGCGCGTGGGGCCGACGTGTAAGGGGCCACGTCCAGGGGCGATCTCAGAAAGCAGTCGGGGAGCCCCGGGGGCACTGACCTGGAAGCGTGAAAAGGAATGGGTTTTTGCTAATCGCGCTGGGACTGGGCGCGATCAGCAAACTCAAGGGTTTTCAGGCACCGTCAGAGTGAAGGGGCCACGTTAGCGGGCCCGCGCAGGGTGGTCCTGGGGCCATCTCGGGGTTCTCGGGCCGTCGAGATGGCCGTCTCGAGAGCTCTGGCAGATCGAAGCCAGCAGAACCGAGAGAGCAGCGGTGAGGCCCCCGATACAGCCAAAGGTGCGGGTGCTGGTATACGTAGGGCCCCCGAACTGGCTGTAGTGGCCTGCGGGCAATGTCGCTGCGGGCCTGGGTAATGTGTAAGAGATCTCGTGGATGTTGGTTGGGATCTCATGGCTGGCCTCTCGGGAGCCTCTGGGAGACAGTTTGGGGGCTTCTTGGTAGCAGTTTGGGGGCGTCTTGGAGCCTCTTGGGCCCTCTTTTGGGGCCTCTTGGGGGTCTTTTGGGGCGCTTGGCGGCCTCTGAGGGGCCTCTTGGAGCCTCTTTGGGGCGTCCTGGGGCCTCCTGGGGATGTCTTGGGAGCGTCCCGGCGTTTCTTTGGGGCGTCTTGGGGCTTCCTGGGGGCCTCTTGGGGTGGAGGCCTAAATTTTTCGGTTCCGGGTCCCTGTCTGGGGCCTCTCTTGGGGCCTTCTTGGGGCCCTCTTGGGCTGTCTTGGGCGACTCCTGGGCCGTCTTGGGGCCCTCTTGGGCCGTCTTGGGGCCGTCTTGAAGGCCTCTTGGGCCGTCTCGGAACGGTCTGGGGGGCCTCTTGGGCGGTCTTGGAGCGTCGGAAAGCCGAAAACGCGAGAAGGCCAGAAACATCGGAAAAAAAACAAAGAAAATCAACGATTTTGGCTTCTGCGGCCCCTCTTGGAGGTACACTTCGAGCGCTCTGGGGGCCTCGTGGACGCGTCCCGGGCCGTCTTGAAGGCGTCTTGAAGCCATTTTGAGCGTCTCGGATCCACTCTTGGACCGTCTTGGGCCGTCTTCGGGACCTCCTGAGGCCGTCTTGGGGCGATCTGGGAATCCTGGATCAGTCCGCCAGCGGTCCGGGAGCCTCCCAGGCCCGTCGGGCAGCGGCCCGGAGGCTATCCGGGCGGCCCGCGAGCTCTCTGGGCGGCCCGGGGCGCTGCCACTGCCTGTACTTCTCGCGCGCGCTTCGCCCGGAATTGTAGTACAGATGAGGTCGGGCTCCAGCTTCGCCTCCCACATCTCGCTCAGCAGCGCAAGCGCCCGCTGCCACTGCTCGCCCTTCTCGCACGCGCTGATCCCAGCGCTGTAGCTGACTAGTGTGAACCCGTGGAAAATCCACGGCCCGCAGGTCCAGGCATTGGTCCCGAACGCGCACGTGTCGGAAGCACTGGAAGCGTCAAAAGTAATGTGTTTTTGCTAATCGCGCGAGGCCTGGGCGCGATTAGCAGAAACACATAGGTTTTCAGACGCAATCAGAGTAAGGGGGCCCGAACGATCTTACAGAGTCCCTGTGCGCGAGAAGTTCGATGTGGGGGGTGGACGCGTGGGGGCCAGAGTTGGGCGCTACGTTGGGGGGCCTCGTTTGAGGGCCACGTTGGGGGGTCTCGTCAGGGTGTCATGGTTGGGGCCAACGTTCGCGGCCCTGCCGGGGGCCATGTTTGGGGGCCGCGTGCGGGGTTCGGGGGCACATGTGACGGTCGCGTTTGAGGGTGTGGGGTTCGGGGGCAGATGTGACGGTCACGTTTGAGGGCAATGGTTGGGGGCTGTGTGTGTTGGGGCCACGTTTGGGGGCGCCTGGGGGCTACGCGTGGGGTTGACGTTCGGGGGCCACGCTTACTGGGGCGGTAGGGGCGACCTTCGGAGGCTTTGTGTGGGGGCCGCCTTTGGGGGTCCCGTTTGGAGGCCTTTGGGGGTCCCGTTTGGAGGCCGCGCACGTGTAAGGGGCCACGTCCAGGGGCGATCTCAGAAAGCAGTCGGGGAGCCCCGGGGGCACTGACCTGGAAGCGTGAAAAGGAATGGGTTTTTGCTAATCGCGCTGGGACTGGGCGCGATCAGCAAACTCAAGGGTTTTCAGGCACCGTCAGAGTGAAGGGGCCACGTTAGCGGGCCCGCGCAGGGTGGTCCTGGGGCCATCTCGGGGTTCTCGGGCCGTCGAGATGGCCGTCTCGAGAGCTCTGGCAGATCGAAGCCAGCAGAACCGAGAGAGCAGCGGTGAGGCCCCCGATACAGCCAAGGGTGCGGGTGCTGGTATACGTAGGGCCCCCGAACTGGCTGTAGTGGCCTGCGGGCAATGTCGCTGCGGGCCTGGGTAATGGGTAAGAGATCTCGTGGATGTTGGTTGGGATCTCATGGCTGGCCTCTCGGGAGCCTCTGGGAGACAGTTTGGGGGCTTCTTGGTAGCAGTTTGGGGGCGTCTTGGGGCCTCTTGGGCCCTCTTTTGGGGCCTCTTGGGGGTCTTTTGGGGCGCTTGGCGGCCTCTGGGGGGCCTCTTGGAGCCTCTTTGGGGCGTCCTGGGGCCTCCTGGGGATGTCTTGGGAGCGTCCCGGCGTTTCTTTGGGGCGTCTTGGGGCTTCCTGGGGGCCTCTTGGGGTGGAGGCCTAAATTTTTCGGTTCCGGGTCCCTGTCTGGGGCCTCTCTTGGGGCCTTCTTGGGGCCCTCTTGGGCTGTCTTGGGCGACTCCTGGGCCGTCTTGGGGCCCTCTTGGGCCGTCTTGGGGCCGTCTTGAAGGCCTCTTGGGCCGTCTCGGAACGGTCTGGGGGGCCTCTTGGGCGGTCTTGGAGCGTCGGAAAGCCGAAAACGCGAGAAGGCCAGAAACATCGGAAAAAAAACAAAGAAAATCAACGATTTTGGCTTCTGCGGCCCCTCTTGGAGGTACACTTCGAGCGCTCTGGGGGCCTCGTGGACGCGTCCCGGGCCGTCTTGAAGGCGTCTTGAAGCCATTTTGAGCGTCTCGGATCCACTCTTGGACCGTCTTGGGCCGTCTTCGGGACCTCCTGAGGCCGTCTTGGGGCGATCTGGGAATCCTGGATCAGTCCGCCAGCGGTCCGGGGGCCTCCCGGGCCCGTCGGGCAGCGGCCCGGAGGCTCTCCGGGCGGCCCGCGAGCTCTCTGGGCGGCCCGGGGCGCTGCCACTGCCTGACCTTCTCGCGCGCGCTTCGCCCGGAATTGTAGTACAGATGACGTCGGGCTCCAGCTTCGCCTCCCACATCTCGCTCAGCAGCGCAAGTGCCCGCTGCCACTGCTCGGCCTTCTCGCACGCGCTGATCCCAGCGCTGAAGCTGATGACGTTGGGCTCCAGCTTCGCCTCCCACATCTCGCTCAGCAGCGCCAGCGCCAGCTGCCACTGCTCGCCCTTCTCGCACGCGCTGATCCCAGCGCTGTAGCTGACTAAGGCTGACCCGCGGCCTTCCGGCCGCGGAATCTGCCCGCCATGGCGTGGACGTGGAAGTGGAGCGTCTCCGCGGCCTCGCGGGGAGGGGAGGTTGGAGGGACGGCATGGATGGAGGAGGTGGCCGCTGGAGGGCGAGGTGGGCGCGGGATGTAGGCAAGCAGGCTTGAAGGCAGGAACACGGTGGTGGGGGTGGTACGAATGGACCCACACCCAAGCACGACATGGTGTGGACAGAACCTGTTTCTCACGCCGCGCTCTGTGTCCATCATAGTTTTCGCGGGGCGGGTCGCCGTGATAATTGTTCCTCGCCGGGGCCGAATGATAGTTTTATCTGGTAGTGCGGTGAGAATGGGAGCGGTGGGCCCGGCCTAAGAGGCCCGCAAGAAGGCGCCGGGACGGCCCAAGAAGTCTGCAGGACGGGCCAAGAGGCCTCCAAGACGGCCCAAGAGAGCCCCACGAACTCCCTAAGACGGGCCCCAATGCGAGGACATGAATCGACCTTTCGAGCGCACCGCCCCAGAACGTCCCAGAAGGCCTAAGGTGGCTCCCAGAGGGTCCATAAAGCCTCCAAGACGACGCTGGAAGTTCGACGCTCCCCAACAGACAAGCATTCAGGCCTCTTGGGGGCCGTTTGGGAGCCTATTTTCGTCCTCCTGGGGTCTCTCGGGGCCCACTTGGGCCATCTGGAGTGCCTCTTGGGCCGTCTTGGGGCCATGTGGGGCCGTCTTGGGCGACTCTCGGGCCATCTTGGGGCCGTCTTGGGGCCATCTTGGGCCGTTATTGGGCGCTCTTCGGGCTGTCCTGGGTGTCTCTTGGGCCGTCTCGGGCGCCTCTGGAGCCGTATTGCGGCCCTGCCGGGCCGTCTTGGGCGGCTCTTCGGCTGCATGTCTTGACGCTCCGTCGGGCCGGTGTGGATCCCCTATGGGAGCCTCCTGGGCCGTCTTGGGGCGGTGTTGGGGGCCTCTTGGGCCGTCGTCTACGCCATGAAACCCGGAAAGCCGGAGATGCTGACATGTGTACGGCTTCCGTCGGGAAAGCGACAATTGTAGCCTCCTGGGGCCCTCCTGGGAAGCCTTTTCGGCGTCTCTTGGGCCGTCGTAGAGGCGTCTTGGGCCGTCTTGGCGCCACAAAAGGCAGTCTTGGCTTGTCGTGGAGCACTGTTGGAGCGTCTTGGGGATACCTGGGGCCGTCCTGGGAGCCTCTTGGTGTCGCCCTAGGGCTGTTTTGGGCGCCTCTTGGGCTCTCTTGACGCCCTCTCGGGCCGGTTTTCGTACGTCTTGGGGGCATCTTGGGGCCGTCTTGGGGCGGTCGTGGGGACCTGGAACCAGCTTCTGCGCCATATTCCCGTGAAGCAGCGTATGCTGGAAGTGAGCGTTTTTCTTCGGGAAAACGATTAATTTCGCCTCTGGGGGCCATCCTTGGACGCCTCTTGGGCGTCTCTGGGGCCGTCGTGGAGGCCTCCTGGGCCGTCTTGGGTGTGTTTTCGGCGGTCTTGGGCTCTCTTGGAGCGCTCTTGGGCCGTCTTGGGGGTGTCTGGGGCCGTCCTGGGCGCCTCCTGGGAGCCTCTTGGGGCCGCCTGGGGGCCGTGTTGGGCGCCTCTTGGGTCTCTGGACGCTTTCGCGGGCCGGTTTTCGTGCCTCTGGGGGGCCTCTTGGGCCGTCTTGGGGCGGTCGTGGGGGCCTCTTGTCCCATCTTCTGCGCCATACTCCCGACAAGCAGTGTGTGCTAAAATTAAACGTTTTTCGTTGGAAAAACAATGATTTGGACCTGCGGGGGCCATCCTGGGACGCCTCTTGAGCGTCTCTGGGGCCGTCGTGGAGGCCTCCTGGGCCTTGTCGGGGCCGTTTTCGGCGGTCTGGAGCTCTCTGGGAGCGCTCTTGGGCCGATTTGGGGGTGTCTGGGGCCGTCCTGGGCGCCTCTGGGGCCGCGTGAGCGCCTCTGGGGCGTCCCCGGAGCCGTTGTGGGGCATTTTAAGTCCATCAAGACAGGGACCCTTCCCGCACGCACGGGTCCCTGCATTGTAGAGAAGATGACGTTGGGCTCCAGCTTCGCCTCCCACATCTCGCTCAGCAGCGCCAGCGCCGGCTGCCACTGCTCGGCCTTCTCGCACGCGCTGATCCCAGCGCTGAAGCTGATGACGTTGGGCTCCAGCTTCGCCTCCCACATCTCGCTCAGCAGCGCCAAGGCCCTCTGCCACTGCTCGCCCTTCTCGCACGCGCTGATCCCAGCGTTGTAGCTGATGACGTCGGGCTCCAGCTTCGCCTCCCACATGTCGCCCAGCAGCGCCAGAGACCGCTGCCACTGCTCGCCCTTCTCGCAAGCGCTGATCCCAGCGCTGTAGCTGATGACGTCGGGCTCCAGCTTCGCCTCCCGCATCTCGCTCAGCAGCGCAAGTGCCCGCTGCCACTGCTCGCCCTTCTCGCACGCGCTGATCCCAGCGCTGTAGCTGATGACGTTGGGCTCCAGCTTCGCCTCCCACATCGCGCTCAGCAGTGCCAGCGCCGGCTGCCACTGCTCGCCCTTCTTGCACGCACTGATCCCAGCGCTGAAGCTGATGACGTCGGGCTCCAGCTTCGCCTCCCGCATCTCGCTCAGCAGCGCCAGCGCCGGCTGCCACTGCCCGCCCTTCTCGCACGCGCTGATCCCAGCGCTGTAGCTGATGACGTCAGGCTCCAGCTTCGCCTCCCACATCTCGCTCAGCAGCGCCAGCGCTGGCTGCCACTGCCCGCCTTTCTCGCACGCGCTGATCCCAGCGCTGTAGCTGATGATGTCGGGTTCCAGCTTCGCCTTCCACATGTCACTGAGCGCTGACAGCGCGTATTGCCATTGCCCGCCTTTTCTGCATGCACTGGCAGTCGCAATGAAGTGGCCTGGGGCAAGTTGCACACCTAATCGAAGTCCTTCGCGGAGCAACCGCAGTGCTGCGCTCCATTGCGTTGTCCGACCGCAGTTCTTGATCGACGCTTCGAGGGGAATAGCGCCTTCTCGAGACCCTCGGCCGATGCCGAGCATCCGAGAAGACAAGGCACTGCGGCTTGAGCCAAATGGCTACGGAGGCTAGTGGGGATACGCGAAGTGTGAAGAATCATTGTTGATCCTCCCCCTCCGGTGCACATTGTATATTTTCAATTGGTGTGCCCCTCCGGGCGCTCGCACCCTTTTTTTCAGGCAAAGTCTTCCTCCTCAAACTGCATTGTTGGCCACCGGGTTACAACATCCCGCCTGAGACTTCCTCACAATTTAGCCAAGACCCCCGCTCCCGCCCGAGACTTCTTCGCATGTTATTCAAGAATCGCGTTCTCGCTCGGTACTTCCTTACAACTTATTCAGGAATCGCTCTCTCGGCGCTCTGGAGTCGCGCTCTCGCTGGAGAGCCGCTTGCAATTTACTCAAGAATAGCACCCTTGCGTTGGAATTTCCCGCAATTCACTCAAGCGCCTCGCTCCCGACACTCAGGCACCCAGGAGTCGCGCTCAAGCTTGGGACTCCCTCACAGATGACTTAGGAATCGAGATCTCGCTGCCCTTCGTGGCCCCGTTGCAGCCCGTCGTGGCCCCCTCGCTGCCCTTCGTGGCCCCATTGCAGCCTTTCGTGGCCCCCTCGCTGCCCGTTGGGGCCCCGTTGCAGC